AAAAGGCAAAGAAAAAGCCATAAAATGAATATAAGCTAGGAGAGAAAGCCACCCACACATCAATCCACTTCGCTGCTGCTTCTGTATGCTGGCGGCAAGTCAGGCACCTTATCGGCTGTTTCTTATGCTGAGCACCTTTTATACATTTTACACATTTCGCTGACGCTTTTATCCCCTGTGACTTACAACGAGAGTAAGAACTAAATAAGCAAAAATTTGTAGGTTGTCAAGGCTGTAATCAAGCGACGGCGAGGGGAACAAGGTTCAAAGCTGTAGAGAAAATGGATGGAAATATTCCTGAGTAAGAATCATATAATTGAGGTGTCGGACGACTAATGTGACTTTGCGTCAGGTTAAAAGCAACACAAGCGGGAATTTATGTCCCAGAGGAGGTGAGGAAAGGTGACACAGGGACATCAGGTGTAATCAAATAGGAAATAAACACTAAACAACATTAAATTATATAGTGAAAAGAAAGAGAAATAAGAATGTCATTAGTTTTAGGTGACATAAGTTGAGTTTCAATTTGAATAAATGTGAAAATATGGAGTCAGGTATTGCACTGGACACAAACATAAAAGACAGAAATAAGAGAAAAAAGCTAAAGGATGTATGAGACAAAATACTACCTCATAAGTTTGAGATTTTTATGCATTATACTCTCCCTCAATAAGGATTAATGGATTTAATGCATTTAGGAACAACAGAAAATACAACAAATTTAAAGAAGAAGGGCACAAGAAGGGATTAAATAGGTATGCTGAGAAAATTAATTAAAAGATGTGCTGTTAAAGAAATTTATAATATCCTCTTGATTTAAGCAGAAATTCAGTCATGAAAACAGAAGGAGAAGCAACCAGAAATGGTCCACAATGGCTGTCTTAAAGTTGCAGTACAGGATAAACTGTGAAGGAAACGTTTTTCCTTTTGTAAAAAACTTTAAGAGTGTAACTGCACTGAGACCTCAGACTGCTGATACAGGACTGAGACGTGTCACATAATACACCAAAGGCAAACTGTGAACTTTAGTAGGTGAAAAAAGGAAAAGCTTCAGTCTCTTAGCTGTTAAAGTAAATTAAACAATATTGTGAAACTTACAGTTTGAAATGCTACAAGACAAAAACACCCGTCAGTTAAAACATTAAGATAGATTCATAATGCAACTATGAAACTGAAAACTCAATTATGTCTTCTGTGCCATATGACACAGACATTTTTAAAATCTAGAA